ATATACACAATAAATAAATTAATGAATAAATATATAAATATATATATAAATATGAATATTTATGTATGTATGCATACGCACACATACAAACACACACACACACACACACACACTCCAGTTTTTGTTTCTCTTTTCATTAACCTTTGTGTGTGAATTCCCACTCTTCTTAAAAATTCTACTAAGAGTATTAAGAGTAAAATGACATAGCATTCTTGGGAGGAACTGATCAATTAGAAACTAGTACAAAATACTAGTTACTCACACAGTACAGTTTAAATGAATTAGTACGTCACCAGTTTTCTGTGTATAGCAAATTTACTCGTAACCCCATCCATATATATGAATATATATTACATATATGCAAACACACACACACACATATATGTATATATATGTGTGTGTGTGTGTGTTAGTGTATATACATATATATATATACATGAATGCCATAAAGGACCTGTCGAAAGACAGAGCACTTTATGTATGTATATATATATATATATATATATATATATATATATATATATATATATATATATATATATATATATATTACTCCTGGGTGTGAGTATAAACTGCATCCAGTAATGGCCTTCTGGTCCTGAGAGTATGGAGTATTGCTCCCAGGTCCATTTCGAGTGTAGCACTGGTCAGAATCCCATCTATAGTATAAACTGAAATAAGGGTAGAGGGGACTCTTAAGCCTTTGCAGTATATATATATATATATATATATATATATATATATATATATATATATATATATATATATATACATCATCAGCTTGAATCAATCCACTGCAATACGTAGGACTTTCACAATCTTTTTCAACTTCACCTGGTGTTTTCCCTCTCCCCATGCCTTTAAGCGTTTTTTCTCTCATGTGATGTTAAGTATGCGTTCGTTTCTATCCGTGGCTGTTCATTTGAGTTGTTTAGATCCCTGTAAAAGTTTTCCACTACTCTTATGATTTCATCGTGCAATTAGAAAGGAATACTGAGCTTCATGAAAAAAAAACTGTCCATACCAAAGCCACGCATCATGACTACGTTCTTTTCATCTGAACCTAGAGTACCTAACATGGACGTATTGGCTCATTGGTCCCTCCTACGCTTTTCATTCACTTTGTTAAACCCCCGTCGCTTCTGTTCCTCGTTTACTCACCGGTTAGGCGACTGCTGAATCGTCTTCCTGTCCGTAGCCTGTTTTCTCAGTCAAACGGTTATATTTGTTCCGCTAAAATTAATATTTCAAAGCCATATATACTGTCTTTTTCTATGCCGCCTACACGATGTATGGTGTAATGTGTTGGAGGGAAATTAATGTCCCTGTTTAACCAGTTAATAGGCAGTTTAGAAGATGTATTGGTACTTCGGCAGTTATTGGCTATGCACATTTGTCATATTCATTACTGTTTTCTTTTGTTCTTTGTTATTACCACAGACATTATCATCATTTAGTAATTCATTTCTCGGTTAGTCAGCAAAATGTCAACAAAATGTCGCTGACACACTGGGATGTAAATTTTGGGTGGTACTCCGTTTTAAGTGCAAAAAGGATCTACATACGGGTTAAGCATTCGTCGGCGGGGATTCGTCATGTTAATATGATCTGCTATTTTATGTGTGTGTGTGTGTGTGTGTGTGTGTGTGTGTGTGTGTGTGTGTGTGTGTGTGTGTGTGTGTGTGTGTGTGTGTGTGTGTGTGTGTGTGTGTGTGTGTGTCGAAAACATAGACATTTGCACTCTCTAAGTTTCTTTCTAACTCCTATTGTTATCGTTAAATCATTTAATCCAACATATCTCAACCGGTTGCAAAGTCACAAGGGGTGCAATGTAAAATCAATTAGTCAATCACACAAAATCATCAATTGAATTAAAAATTACATGTAACATTAGTATGTTACATGTAATGTTACAAGTAATATCCCAGAAGTTTACGCAAAAAAGAGATTAATCACTATATATAATAACCTTCATATTAGGAGAGGACCGATACATAAAATCTATTCAATGGTTTCGTAATGACAAAGAGGAAGGCAAACGATGGCTCAACGTACCAACTACGATATTTTATTAACAGCATTAACTTTATCACTTTAGCTATCGTAGTAAAAAAAAAAAAACTGAAATTCTCATAAATATTATATATTGTTTATTCGTATGTTTGTTAGTATTGGTAATTTTGTACCGGCTCACTTTTTTCACCTTCATCATTATTCATACCATTATTTTCATCAAAATCATTAATTTCATCTTCCTTCCTGTCTTCCTTCTACCTCTTTCTTTTCTTTTCTTCGTCATTTTATCGCCAGCTTCTTCCTCCTCTTTATAAGGTTTTCCTTTGATTAACAGTGAACCAACAGTTCAAACAAACAATGTCTGACCTAACCTAAGAGGATATAACATTGCCAAGTGAATCTCACAAGTAACGTTTGAAGAGGTTAGGTTAAGGTTAACTTTGGTCACGTTAAATTCATGGCTTTAGGTGGAGGGAGGAGCTTGATTAACATAGAAGCATACGATAATGCATACATAAATGCATAGATACACATACAAGTACGTGCGTGCATACATACATACATACACAATACACTCACACACACACACACACACACACACACACACACACACACACACACACACACACACACACACACACACACACACACACACACACACACACACACACATACACATACATACTTACACACATACATACACATGCATACATACATACACATACATGTGTGAATATCCAAACAACCGAACAACACAGTCTTGACAACCATTCCTGTATTCATGAAGAAATAAAGAAAGAAAGGAATAAAAACATTCCATCTAAAATAAATATCTACACCTACGTCATTTCTTTCGTTCGATTTCCTGACATACCCAATTACGTTCTGTATAAAATGGTCTGTCACGGCAATTTAATCCAACGGTGTCCTTATTGACGCTAACGTTTCTTTGTTGGTTCTTATGGTATTAGTTAGGTGAATGCTGTGACTTGACAGTATAACGTATTAGTATTTTCTCCCCATTAATGTTGTTGGTATCATTATCGTTATTGTTGTTGTTATTGACTTTCTCATTATTGTTCTTACTGATATCATCAGGTGATATTGGTATTATCACGTTGTTATTATCACCCCTATTGTTATAGTTACTGACAGTATTATCATTGTTATTAACTATCATTGTTATTATTATTGTTACTAACTATCATTGTTGTCATTATTATCACTAATACCATCACCACTAGGCGGCCAGCATCAACAATGATTATTTTCTAAGTAGACAGATAATATTATGGTTATAATACTTGCTTCCTAAAGTGAAAATTATTCTAGCTTCATTAGTAGATATGGATATGACTAGTATTATTCCCTGTATTTATCCATAGCCTTTAAATCTATCTATCTATATATATATACATACATATGTAAAACCTCCCCTCAAGTCCCATAAAAGTGACTGATTTGTGCACTTTGACATCGTTTTAAATGAACTGATGTGCATTCCATACCAAGAGTTTTATTAATCTTTAAAATCCGATTTTACGTGTTCGGCCCTGTTTCAGAATGGGGTCAAATGAAATGCATGAACATATTGTTTGGACTTTAATTCATTTAGCGTGCTTTTGAATGCTCTCGTGTCGTCACCCTGTACTGAATAAAGCTTTAGAGTTTTCTCTTACATTCATAACCTGAAAAAAGGGAAAAAAGACTGAAAAGCATTGGTTCTCTAAGCGGTTGATATTGACGCTCAGGAGTTAAAGGGAACATTCCAGGCCTAGGTTTGTTGACTTACCAAAGGATCGACAGGGTGTCAGCAAAGGCCTATGGATTTGATGAATAGCATGGCCACGGGTTTTGAAAACAGATGGGAGGTGACAAGATAGAGTCAAAAGTGAGTGAAGGCTGGAGATAAGTAAACTTTGATAAGGCTAATGGAGATTCTGCCTCAGTGTAGGGTACCTGTAGGTTTTAAAAGTCCACACGCCTGTTCTTGATGTCTTTTTTTTTTTTTTTTTTTTTTTTTTTTTACATAAGGTGTGACGTGTGCATGAATACCCCGCCTGTTGACGAATAAAAACACACTCTAACAGTTTCACACGCAATTTCTAACTGTCATCCAGTGAGTGGGGCTTTTTATGTCCAAAAATTAAATAAGCATAAATATGAAAAAAACGGAAAGCTATAAAAATATTTACTGTTATTACTTTAAAAAATAGTCATGACATTATTTCACCCGCGCGTTAGGAATCAGAGAAAAAATAGAGTAACGAAGTAGGAAACGAGCTGTAGAAGGTAAGGAGAAAATAAGAATAAGGAGAAGAGAAGAATGAGAAAGAAAACAGTAAGAAGTGATAGCAACATTACCATGATAATAAAGAAAGGAATAATAACGATAATATGAAGTATAGTTACAAAAATAACATGTTCCATTAAAGTTGTGTAAACTTTTTTCGAAGAAACTTTCCATACATTTTCTTTAGTGTTTTATGAAGCCTGAAAATGAAGATAATCTACTCTCAAGCTTGCGAATATTTATAACCACAACACATATGCTACTGACTATTAGTAAATATCATTATTCTAATGTTGTTTTAATAGTATTGCGTCTGTGTGTGTGTGTGTGTGTGTGTGTGTGTGTGTGTGTGTGTGTGTGTGTGTGTGTGTGTGTGTGTGTGTGTGTGTGTGTGTGTGTATCTATATATATAATTTTTTTTATTGAACATTCGAATTCATAATTACTATGTTATCCTTATTGTTACTTTTACCATTATTATCATTAGTATTACATTATTATTATCATTGTTATTATCACCATTATTATTATTATTATCATTAGTAGTAGTAGTAGTAGTTTCATTATCCACATCAACACCATCATCATCATCATCACCGTCATCATCATCATAACCATCATCATTTTATTAACAATGCCTTTTTATTACCACTACTACTAATATCGTCAACATTACATCATTTCAGATATTGATAATCAGCACAAAACAACTACCGAGTGCGCCTGCCATTACCAAGGTACATAATATATAATATTTATGAAAAATCCATTTTTTTTCTTTTTTTCTTGTTTTTCTTTTTTTTTGTTTTTGTTTTTACTGTGATAGCTAATGCGACAAAGGTAATGATGGTGATAATAAAATTTTGGAGTTAGTAGGTTATGCCATCGCTTGCCTTCGTCTTTGTCCTTACGAAACCGTTGAATAGATTTTATGTATCCCCCCCCCCCCCCCATGTGAAAATTATTATCTATATTGACCAGTTTCGAGTGAAATATTGATGCCTTTTCTGCATACCTTCTGACCTGGGTGGCCTCTGACCTCGGGAAGTCATATTATTATTATAATTATTAATAGTAGTAGTAGTAATAATAGTGATATTATTACTATTATTATTGTTACTATTGTTATTGTTGTTATTATTATTATTATTATTATTGTTACTATTGTTATTGTTGTTATTATTATTATTATTATTATTATTATTATTATTATCATATATTATTATTATTATTATTATTATTATTGTTATTATTATTATTATCATCATTATTATTATTATCATTATTATTATTATTATTATTATTATTATCATTATTATTATTTTCATTATTATTATTATTATTATTATTATTATTATTATTATTATTATTATCATTATTATCATCATTATTATTAATATTTTCATTATTGTTATTATTATTATTATTATTATTACTATTATTATTATTATTATCATTATTATTATCATCATCATCATCCTTATTATTATTATTATTATCATTATCATTATCATTATCATCATCATCATCATCATCATCATCATCATCATCATCATCATCATCATCATCATCATCATCATCATCATCATCACCATCATCATCATCATCCTCATTATCAATATTTTCATTATTATCATTATTATCATAAGTGCAAACAACACCTTTTAACTTACAGTGGTCTCGATCCTGCAACGTTATCATTATTTTTTTTTATTAATATTATTATTGTTAACATTATTATTATTATTATTATTATTATTATTGTTATTGTTATTATTATTACTATTATTATTATTATTATTATTATTATAATTGCATATTTTATTGTTATTATTGTTATTGCTATTGTTATCATTATCATTATCATTATAATTATTATAATTGCATATTCTATTATTATTATCATTATTTTTATTATTATTATTATTATTATGTTTTTACTTTTATTATTATTATTATTATTATTATTATTATTATTATCATTATCATTATTATTATTATCATTATTATTATTATTATTATTATTATTATCATTATTATTATCATTATTATTATTATTATTATTATTATTATTATTATTATTATTATTATATATGTGTGTGTGTGTGTGGAAATGCATGCATGTATGTATGTATGTATATACACATTGCCTTCTCTTTCATCCATTGATAAATTCCGTTTGTTTACGATGATCAGCTGATTCCACGAGAACCACGCTTGTGTTTGAATTGCAGTTCTTCCTCCCGGCACTGATATTGGGCTTTTTATATGTTAATTTAGGTTGACAGCTTATTGAACACTTATCTTAGTACGTTGGTCATATGAAGAGGTAATTTTGTTCAGTTTCTATTAATGGTTATGTTTTATGATAGGATTCAAATAACACTAAATACATTTTTTTCCTTTTTTATATATAAAAGTGACATTTTATAGTAGGATATAATCACATGACATGCTTTTGTGGTTAACCTACGGTATCTTTGTTAGAAATTATACATTAGTTAAATATTTGTTATCAGCATAGTGAGCATTTAAATTTTTTTGTCTACACTGTGGTTTGTGCGATTTTCAGCTTTTGACATATATATATATATATATATATATATATATATATATATATATATATATATATATATATATATATATATATATATATATATATATATATATATACGCATTCTGGTAAAAGAACCCAACTTGAACTAGTGAATTTCATCCTCAAACTATGACAGAGATTGCTATACGAGCCAAAAATCTTCCTAGGTCTACTGATTTGCATATTACCCAATCATTGTCTCTCCTTAGCCAGTGCAGTCCTTTTGTTTTTTTTTAATGAAAATTAATTAAGGTAACAGTGTAATGAGTTATGCATTCAGTGTATTATTTCATACATAGTAAGAAACTTTGAAAAATATTTAAATGCCTTTTATAGGGACACTGTACGAGTGTTCTCAATTTTTTTTTCCACTCATACAATTGATTACGTCTTATCAATTTATTGTTATATCATTATTTCCTTTAAAATATAGGATGTGTTCTTTAACACTCATTCCTTTCAAGTAATGTCATATGTTAAAATATATTTATACACATCTAATTACTAGATAATTTTGATTAAGTTTTATATTAGTTTTTTATATTATTACATACTTCTTATTTCTTTTATTAAGTTATAGTAGCTGCAGAGAGGG